TCAGTGAATGAGATAGATAGATAGAGAGAGAGAGAGTGGAATAGAGAGGAATAGAGAGATATTTAATTGAATTAGATAGATATTTAAATGAATGAGATAGATAATTAAATTATGTAGATAGATAGATAGATAGATAGATAGATAGATAGATAGATAGATAAAAGTAACCGATACACTTAAATGCATACACGCAAAGAAAGAAATAAGTAAGTAAGAAAAATATACATTTTCATATATGAATAGACAGCTAGCGAAATAATATAATCAATTTAAATCGTTCATGTATGGATAGAAATACATCTACGTGTCGAGATAGAATAGCAAAATGTAAAAGAAAGAAATTAAGAAAGAAAGAAGGAATACTTATATTGTAAAGCAGAAATAGAAAAAGCACTGGCCAGTCGATATTTTGATATAGATAGATAGATGTATAGATAGATAGTAAAACCATGTATATTTAAATGATACCGCTTTCATGTGTTGGAAATCTTGAATTTTGAATACGTTTAAAGGTAGGAAAACCCTATCGAACTTGTTGCGGGATATACACGGAGAATAATATATCAGAAGGCAAAATTAAGTAAGATGAAGGCTATGCGTGCTTATAGCGTCCGTATCCCACAAAATATTGGTCATACAAACAGTTTAAGAACAAATTGAATGGCAAGAAACTACTAAATACTGTTGCTATTAGCATTAAAGAAATGTTTATATCAACAATAAAATATACATGTAACGACAATTACAATGTTTGTTGTTGTGATAATTGAGACAATGTTATAAGCAATATTTGTGCAGGAATGTTGTTAAGAAATGTTGGTACGTTTTGATTGTTAAGAAATTTAAAATGATTTGGTTTCTGGAAGGAAAGAAGTCATATGTGTTCGTTCATTTATCAGTGTATTTACGCGTGTAATTTACAAGTAAGAATAAATGCTATCAAGAGTTGCTTCCCATTATCTGTATAGGCTAAGTTGGTGAAATATACAATTACTTTTTTTAGTAGTGAAATTGTTTCACTTTCCAAGTCAACTGTAGATATGTTGGTTAACCACACGGGCAATAGTTGATGAATATTTGCTGAGATTTCAATGTCATGTGTGAGTCAGTGAATTGTCACGCGTGGAGTTTGGTAGCTTCTTGTTCAACTCCAGTGGCTGACTGTCTGAATTAAGCCAGTTGCGGTTAAGTTATAGATTTTTCGTGTAGCGAAGTCTTTATGTATACAAAAACAAGTTTAACGGCGTAACAAAAGTGCCAAAAAACTGTCTGTCGTTGAAATAAAGCAGACGATATGCGTTAAACGGATGTCATCATTCGTTTCCAAAAAAAGGCACCCCGACCCTACCTTGACTTTGTTAGTCATTTTCATGACGGTCGTCTTCGAGTATAGAATCCATAGGTTGGCAGTGAATATTTCGGAGACAGTAGGAAAGAGTAGTGCAGGTTCGCAGTGGATATCGCAGCAAGGTAGCAGAGCGTAGTTCTTCCGCCTGTCCTGTTCGCCGGACAAGTTGCCTCTGGTCATTCCAGTAAGAAAACAAAGATGGCCGCCTTTATACACGACGGATACAGTGTTGTGCGGCTTCTGATTGGTCAACCTTCTATTGGTCGACTATCAAGGGAAATAAGTCATTTTGACTCGCTCACTAGTTATATACAGCATATACCCAAAAAACTGTAACAGACTTAACCTCTTTTCGAAAGTAACTAATATGTTGATACAATAGTTGTCAGTGAAAATGAATACCCTGCCGCCCTTTATTAAAATGATTGCTTTTCTCCATATCCATAGAAATGAATATTACGAATGTATAAGCATATAAAGCTCCGTAAATTTCAAAATTATTTATTCCAAAATTCGCTTGAGGATGAAACAGAACTAGGTACTTTAATTTCATTTCTATAATTGAATTGGAAGTTTTTAGCTTCTGTTTTTGAAACATGGCAATTCCTATGTAGCGATGGAATCATATTTTAAAAAAAATAATTATAATATAGGCTCTACTTGTGTATCGAGCAGTTTTTTTAAATAAAAAAAAAAATACTAAAGAACTTAAGATTATTAACCTAAAGGTTCATTCTTATTTTTCTATATATTTGCACAGACGCACACACACACGATCATATATATATATATATATATATATATATATATATATATATATATATATATATAAATCCGTGGGTAAATAATCCGAGTAGATTCTGTTATCTTGCCCTTTTTTACACTTATACAACTCCATAGAGTACCCTGCCAGGTTATAATCCACACTTATATAAGTGTGGATTATTTTTTCTGATGCAGCGTTGGGGACCGAAGAATTGCTGATAGACTACTGGACTCCACGAACAATGTGACAAAAAAGACATAAACAACAGACACTACACCTTGATCCCAACCCTGATGCCTGTCATCGACGAAGTTACCAAGCACCCACCCGCTTAGGATAAGATCTGACGCAAATACGGTTTAATGTAGGGTACAGCACATACAACCTTGATCCCTATATTAAAAATGATCCACAAAAGAGGGCTCAATGCAAATTTATTATAGACCATATAAGTGAATTACAATTAAAGGGATCCCAAAAATTTACCTCATACAGATGATAATTTCGTCAAAGGGAAAGTAGTTTTTTTTTTTCTCTGGACTTATCAATGCAAAAACATTTACTAAAATGAATGAAATCTCACGTTTCTTCACAGGAAATTTGACAGGCAACGAAAGGAAAAAAGGAAAAAAAAAAGAGGAAAGAATAAAAGGAGAGGGAGTAAGAATTGGCCTAGACTAGAGGAGGGAGTTATATAGATATAGAGGGATAAGGGACCTAACGTGGTTGTGGTGGAGTTGGGTACAGATAAATGCAACGATTGAAAATAGACACTGACATAAATGTTACCTGTCAACACCTGTGCAAGGAGGAAGAATACCCTCCACCACAAAAAAAAAAAGGTTATGAATCTTTTTAGAGAGGAGCCTATAATTATTACAGAATTGGAATAGGAATTTTAAATTAATACTTTTAGAAAAAGTTGTTAATATTAATTCATTCAATACTACATCTTTACATATAGTAAAATTTGCAGTAAAAAAAAATTAAATTATTAATATATTAATTTTATTCAAATATAATCAGTCCAAATATAGCAATATAATATTAATAAATTTTCAAATGCTAACTTTATAATATAAATTATATCATATTATACAGATTATTTAAAAAATTCTGTAAAGGATTAAATTTAAATTCAATATATTAGTATTATAAAAACAATTAAATATAGAAAAATATATATATATATATATATATATATATATATATATATATATATATATATATATATATATATATATATGCAATGGAAAGCAACAGGCCAAAACTACTAAGTATCGTTTAACTTATATATTCCAGGCAGTTATATTATATTTTAGGCTTTTAGTTTAAGCTTTTAACTTTTATTCTTACAATGTATGTATGTTTATATATATATATATATATATATATATATATATATATATATATATATATATATATATATATATATATATATATGCATGTTTCATTAAAACGACCGAAAAGGTACTACGGTTAAGCTTTTTATTTAATTTTTCTTGTGTTCTAACAAGAGCTTTCTTTTCTGGACAAAGGGTGTGTAAGAACTGTCCAAATGTTTTATATTTCCGAGCGCTGTCGGATATACCTTTAGCCATTATCAAGGATGATTCAATTATCAGCTTAGTAGAGTGTGTGGGTTCTGTGTATGTCTTAGTGTGTGGTAGGGATGTTTTTAATTTCCGAATACGGTTAGCAAATTGTGGCTTTGTTCATAGTTAATATTGTTAAGAGTTGGCTTTTTCTTTTTTATTATTAAAGCTTCCATTATTTTTAGTCTTTTTTTGCAAGTGGATGCAGTTAATATATTTGTGTTTTCTACTAGTATGTTCCTAATAATTTTTAATGAAACATGCATAAAGGAAGGATTGCTGCCTAAATATACAACTATATATATATATATATATATATATATATATATATATAAAACCAAATCCGATACTAATGATTTCATGCAATATCAATCATTAGTCCGGAACCAAACTATCGTTTATCTTATATAGTCCTGGCCTTTGTTTTATATTTCAGGCTTTTAGCTTATTATCTTTAGCTTTTATTCTTACCATCTATCTATCTATCTCTCTCTCTCTCTCTCTCTATATATATATATATATATATATATATATATATATATATATATATATATATATATATATATATATTCATGAATTATTCATACAAAAAAGAAATGTAAAGGTCAATGATTTAATTGGCGAGAAATCCCTCGTCGCAAACAATTCAAATAATATACAAAAACCCTGAACCTGTTATGAATGAAAAGATCCTTGTTTCTATAAATTCCTGCTGCATTAGTTCTTACTTTTTACTACAAGCTTTCGTCTGTTCCTACAGACATCTTCAGGTATGGAATAGATGTTGTTCTTGTTTTTTCTCTCAGTAATAAGAGGACAACGAAAATATATGTATTATTGTATATATATATATATATATATATATATATATATATATATATATATATATATATATATATCAATTAACAAACATTATGTATCATACAACATAATTAAAAGAAACCGTAAAAATAATTTAGCAACAAACACCTTGAAAATGTCAAAAGCAGTGTCCGGGATCCCTTTGGAAAATAGACACAACGGATGCGTTTTCATTCCTTTATCCCCACCTAACTATAAAAAATTAGAATAGTAGAAATACTTCATAAAAATTTTTCAAAATGAGCGCTTCTTTTTTTGTTCAACGGTTTCATTCGAGGACAGCTCCTCAATTAACTGTGTGATTTTCTGTTTAATTTTTGATGGGAGTCAACACCTTTTCACATCCAAACCTACTCAGAGCATTCTTTTGTTTTGGGGTGTAGATCCAGTTTGATTTTTCGTTTTCCTTTCATGCTAACATTTGCGTTTTTGCTGCATATGGTTATTTATTAGGCTGGTGCAAAAATAATGACGTAATAATGTCGTTTTATTAACGTATTTTTTAACGTCAAAAAACGACATTATTACGTCATTATTTTTGCACCAACCTAATATTAATTAAAAAAAAAAAAAAAAGATGCGCATATTGTTTGAAATTTCATATCGTGGTAACATAAACGCATTTATTTTGCTCGTTAATAATATTTTTTTTTGTTTTCTTTTCTTTTTTTTAGGTAAGTATCTTTCTTCTTCAAATATTGTCTCAAAGAAAAAACCCGAAGCAGTAACCATTAACTGTGTGAGTATCATCCTCATCTTCTTCTTCTTTTTCTTCTTCTACTTCTTCTTTTTCGCCGTGTCTAGATCATGGCTCTCCACAATTTCTTTTATCTTTGTGTTATCTCTCCTAAACCTTGTTCGGCTATCCATTTACAGAAAATGGGAGGCATTCCTGGAAAATGGGAAGCATGCACCTTCGGATATCAGTGACAAATTTTCTCTCCTCTTGTAAAAAAAGTTTCCTAGAAATCTCCAACCAAACCTCAGTAATTTGCACTCTAGGCAAATTATGCTTTGTTCGTTTCTGGCCCTTTACCTTCAACCTGCCTTGTGGGTAACAAATTTTCCAAGCCCTTTGCCCTCATTATGTGTCCTGACAAATTTTAGCTGCCTCTTTCCGATGTTAAATATGTGTCTATTTGTTTGCATTTTCTCCAAAATTTCCCTGTTGTTTTCGTCTTTGATATTCTCAGCATCCTTCTGTAGAATCCCATTTCTGTTGCATCAAGTCTTTCCTTCATCTGCGAGGAAATTTCTCTAATCATTTCACCCCAAGCAAGGCAATAAAGCCACTAAGACGCAAGGGGGGGGGGTTACTGAGGGTTAGGGAAGATGAGAAAAACTATTATTAAGTTGAGAGGACAATAAAAGAATTAAGGTGACGGAAGATAACTTTTGTCACTGCATTTAAATTTTTTAAGAACAAATTTGACTGCGAAGCAAGAACCCGGGAGAGAGTTCCACAGGCGAGAAGTGCGATAGAAGAAACTGTTAGCATAGAACTTACGGTTACACCGAGCAATTTCAACTGTAAAATGATGAGACCCTGCCACCAATCTAGTATGTTAAATTCACTGCCTTATACGAGGAGTACTATAACGTAACAGTCCAGTGTTCTTTTCTTTGTTTCTAACGAAATTTTCCTGTTTCTTAATACTTTGCTTGGCTTTTGGGAGGTATGCACCTTCGGATATCAGTGACGAATTTTCTCTCCTCTTGTAAAAAAGTTCCTAGATATTCAAACTGTTGTACATGTTTGGTTTTGGCGTCCCCAGTTTGTAATTTGCATGTTAGCCCTTACTTTTGTCTTACTACAATGCATTCTGTCTTCTTGCAGTTGTTGTCCTTTGATCTCGCTTTCCTTCACTATTTTCTCTAAGGGTTCTTGCAGTTTTCTTTTCTGCGTATTTTATCAGTACTAAAATATATATCTTAGTTTTCTTTGTCCATTGTATGTATACATAATATCTTTTTTTATACAGCGGACGTTGTGGAAACCCGTATTTGTCTACGTTCTGAAGTGATACGGTTAACAACAGTGGATCGACAGTTCAGGCTCGCTTTATGCCTAATCCTGCACAGTCAAATTATTATTGGAAATTGAGTAAAAATTGTAGTAAAAATCAAGTAAAAATTATTAAATAAAATCATTTCTTAGTTTTCTTTGTCTAATGTCTCCATTGTGTTACAAGTATGGGATTTATTTTCGTTAAAGCTTTATTACAATTTACGGCTTAGCTGATATATATATATATATATATATATATATATATATATATATATATATATATATATATATTCTCTGATTACAAGGGGGGATACGCCGGATATGTTGTTCTCCTTGGTTGAAGTTTATTTTAGTCCTGTTGTGAGGGTTTCTTTTCAAGAGCATGGAACATGAAAACAATTCCACAGAAATAAATAATGCTATTTACGAAGCAGCATTTACGAAATACATAAAAAAAAAAAATTGAATGAAGTAAAAAAATCGTGCCACCTGCCGGTTATCGAGGCGCAAAATGAAATCGGCGTGTCGAATTCGAATACTAGTCGATTCTCAGCTAGCGAAGTTATGCAACTTCGAGCCATGTTTAGTACCTACTCGTGGGGTGCTAGCAAATCACGGATACGGTTAAGCGACCTCCTACAATCCGAAATACGCTTCGACTTTCAGTAACACAAAAGGGGTTGATAAGTCGTAAAAAACACAGATCAGTAAACGATTTTCAGCATCCTTCTCTAGAACCATTGTCTAAGTCTTCATCTTTAAAATTTTTCAGTATCCATTGCTATATAGGAAGACTGTTATTACATTAGTGTAGTACTCTTTTTTTTTGTTTCCAATGAGATTTTTTTGTTTCTTAAAATACTGCTTACAGTTTGGAAGACATCGTTCGCTATTCGAAAATTAAAGAATGGAAGTTGTGGAGACCCATATTCGCCTAGGTTCTGAACGGATATTTTATTAAAGTAATAGCCAGTGAATCGACATTGCAGACTCGCTTTACGCTCGATCATGTCTCTTGAAAATTGAGTAAAAGTTGTAATAAAAATGAAGTATTATGTTGGTGCAAAAATAATGACGTAATAATGTCGTTTTTTGACGTTAAAAAATACGGCAAAAAACGACATTTTTACGTCATTATCTTTGCACCAACCTAATAAAAATTATTTTAAAAAGTTTTTTAGGCTTCTTTGTCCAATGTCTTTGTTGTATTACAAGCAGTGGATTTATTTTCGTAAACTTTCATGCTATTTCTGCTTTAGTTGGATATACTTTTATTGGCCATTATTTTTTCTTTGTATTTGCCATGTCCTTTCAGGACGTAGGCGATCATGGCTCTCCACCTCCCTCTATCCCTTGCAGCTCTCAACAAGTTCCTTCCCTCTGCTTCCACCCCCAGACCACGTTCTGTCATCCCCTTGCTTAAGGCCACCAGGTATGTCATGAGTTGTTTTCCCTTGTCTCTCTTTCCCCTCTATTCGACCCGTGAGTATCAGATTCTCCAGGCCTTTCTTCCTCGTCATGTGTCCTAGAAACTTCAGCTGCTTCATCTTGGTGTTAAGTATAAGCCTTCACCTTGTTTGCAACCTTTGTTGCAACCTCATCGTTGCTCACACGCTCGGTCCATGACATCCTTAGCATCCTTCTGTAGAACCACATTTAATATATTAATAAAGATAATACAGAAATCTCCAGCCAAACCTCAAGTTCCTTCTTTCTCTATACCGTGTCCTTTCCGATCATGGCTCTCCACCTCTTTCTATCCCTTGCAGCACTGAACAAGTTCTTTCCCTCTGCTTCTTCCACCAGAGCACGTTCTGTCGTCCACTAGCTTAAGCCTGCTAGGTATGTCATGCGTTGTTTTACCTTGTTTCTCTTTCCCTCTATTCGACCCGTGAGTATCAGATTCTCCAGGCTTCCTTCCTTATTATGTGTCCCAGGAACTTCAGCTGACTCTTCCTGATGTTAAGTATAAGCTTACCCTTGTTTGCATCCTCTCTAAGATCTCATCATTGCTCACACGCTCGGTCCATGATATCCTGAGCATCCTTCTGTAGAACCACATCTCCGTCGCCTCGAGTCTCTTCTTCATCTTTGAGGAAATCGTCTCAACATTCGCTGCCGTAAAGAAGGACATATGTCACGTAACGGCTCAGTATACTTTCCTTTATAACCAAAGAAATCCTCCTATCTCTCAATACTCTGCCCAGCTTTGGAATGCGTCATTGGCCATCCCAATACGTCTACAGATCTTAGTGGCGCACTTACCGTCCTGTCAAACAGCTTCCCAGATATTCAACATCCGCGTCTGCTATTTTGTAGTGGTCCCGACCAGCAAATCGCATTTCAGGAACATCTTTTACTGATGACCATGCATTCTGTTTTCTTGTAGTTTATGCTTAGTCCTTTCTTCACACTCTCCGTAGCACAATTTTTATACACATTATGTCTGAAAAAAAAAGAAAAAAAAAGATAATAAAATTACTGTAAAAAAGTATTTTTTATACTTTAATTGCTGTATTGATTATCATTGGTCTATAAAACGTATTTTTAATAAAGATATTGCTGGTATTTTTACTATAATGTATTTTTGTATTTTCTTACTGAATCACCTTTCAAAAATCAAAATTTCCATAGCTTTGACCCTAATAGGTGTTACGACCTCGCGTCAGGGTGGACCTTGCAACAACAGCAATTAAGAGTTAGTTCCACGTTCCTGAAATACTCCAATCTCCCGATCAGAGGCTTGATCTCATCATTGCTCACACGCTCAGTCCATGATATCCTTAGCATCCTTCTGTAGAACAACATCTCCGTCGCTACGAGTCTCTTCTTTGAGAAAATTGTCCAATGTTCGCTGTAAAAAAGGACAGATGTCACGTAACGGCTCAGTATGCTTTTGTTTGTTACCAGCGTAATCAGTGTCTCATTTACAGTCCTCTGTCAGAACGCTTCCCAGATATCTAAACTTCCGAGTCTGCTTGTTTCTAGTGGCCCCGACAAGCAAACCGCATTTCAGGCGCATCTTTTACTGATGACCATGAATTCAGTCTTCTTGTAGTTTTTGCTTAGTCCCTTCTTCTCGCTCTCCTTCGCTACCTTCTGTAGAAGATTCTGGAATTTCTTTTCCTTGTCTGCTATGAGTACTGTGCCATACAAGGGGATAAACGCATATTCTGCTCTACTTGGGTGAAGCATATTTTCGCCCTCTTTGCGACGCCTCTCTTCTTCTTCATTTGTGAGGAATGTCCAAGTCATTCTATCTGTGCCCCGACTACATAAATTTAAGCGTACTACTAGGCCCCACCTTTTTACCGTTGAAATCGTTAAATGTAACCGCCACTTCTACTCCAAGAGTTTCTTTTCTCGCACATGAAATTCCCTTCCGTTTACTTGCTTCCCTGATAACTACAATTATCAAAAACTAGCAGTAAATCCCGGCGTTTCCCGGTGATGTAACAGTAAAGAGATAGATCAAGTATCGACCATCATAAAGACTGAAAAATAAAATTGACAAAGATTATTGTTTAAGGTTGACGGACACGCATGTCTTAATTAGTTTTTATTTTTTTTTAACGAATTGGTCAAACCCAAACTCAAACAAAAACATTGTTTTCAATCGTTATGAGTCTATCGATTGGATAGAATTTTATTATAAACAATTGTCTTGTAAATGGAATTTTTAAAGCATTCTGAATGTAAAAATAAAGAAAAAGTGTGCAAGACAATAAGAAACACTACCTACCAAAAAAAAAAGGTGAAGTTTTGTTGAAATCGGTTGAAAAATGTAGGAAATCCGATCCCATATATAAACGAACACACACACACACACACACACACACAAACAAACAACTGGGGTTTTATAATAAGTATAACTCGATATGAGTTGTTCCCCTTTCATTCCCCCCGATGTCTCTTAATCGTGTTTTCAAATTGATTTCGTGCAAAAACAATTGTGTTTTTCCAATTTTTGGCGCTGTCAGAACCGCCGCAAGGTAATTTTACGTAGCCCTGTTTTTGTTGAAAATCTGTTGAAAAATGTAAGAAATCCGATCCATACAAACACACACACACACACACACAACCTGGGTTTTGTTATAAGTATGATTTAAATGCAACGTCACCGCCATCTTTTGATGTCTTGAATCCCGTTTATCTTTTATCCTTTCGTCATTGCCCGTGTTTTTCATGAAGACGGTCGTCTTTGAGTATGAAATCCAGAGGTTAGCAGTGAATATTTCGAAGACAGTAGGGAAGCGTAGTTCAGGTTAGCAGTGGATATTTTGGTAAAAGTAGCAGAGCGTAGTTCTTCCTTCTGGTTCTCTTCGCCAGACAAACTGGACTGGACATTCGGATAGAGTAAACAAAATTGCCGCCTTTATACACGACGGATTGAATATTCTACGTCTTCTGATTGGTTAACCTTCTATTGGTGTACTATAAAGTGAGTCAAGGCATTTGGGCTAGCTCACTAGTTACATAATATATCCAAAAATTGTAACACCCTGGATATACAATTTTTTTTTGTTTCATCTTCACTCTATGTAACCCCTGAGAAGCAATGGCACCCCCGTTTTAATTTTCTTTCTTTTTTTTTTTTAAGTATTACGCACCGAGCAAGGCGCGAAGCCACTAGAATGCAGGGGATTGCGGAAGATTTGGAGCAAGAGCAGATAGGAGTGATAGAAGAAAGGATGAGGAGAAGGATAGTGGGTAGATCAAGGTAACTGGAGGTGTTGATTGACATTTTATTTGAATAGTTGGAGATTATAGCTCTCAGGGAAACAGTAATTGGGAAGGGTGTTCCACGGACGAGAGGTGCGAGGTATGAAGCTATTGGAGTAGAAGAGACGGCAACATTTAAAAATTTCTATAGTGTAAGGGTGGGAGCGGTATGCCAGCCTCGTAGGGCGCTTGAATTCATGGAGTCTGGGAATCAGTGAAAGCAGCTCATCGAAGCCCTTACCATGGAAGTGTTTGTAGAAAAGAGAGAGAGAGGCGACGGCGCGTCTGTGAGAGAGTGACTGTAGACGAGATGCCAGATCAGGGCCAATTATATTACATATCCGTCTCTGGATCTTGTCATTGGAGAGAAATGCTTAAAAAATATAAGAAATCACAGAAAGTGTTGGAATACCTTTAGAAAATTTTACTCTTGCTTTTGAGGAAGCAGTACACAATATTAAATATTACGCCTGATTTTTTTTTGTTGTTTTTGTTCTTTCTGTTTAAGCAAATCGTAAAATCTATAACTTTTGTTCAAATAGTAACACCGATGAAAATTTGGCAAGATTTACTTTTTTTTTCTATAATTATTTTCATCCAGTATAAGGCCCGTCGATGTAGTGTATTACTGAGTAAGAGGCGCAGTTTATGTGGATATGTGGGGAATATATCTGTTAATCCTAGATTTGAACAGCTTAAATCTGTAGTGATCGGGGGAGGCTATTTCTTGGGAGACTTGTTCTGCGAAGTAGTAATCCGTGAGAAGAATTTGATCGAGTAGAACTTACATCTCTACCAAAGAAATACGTGACATGGCCGGTCCTAGTCTTGAAGATTAAAAACTGGTGGAACTAAGGCGTGTAGTTTGTCTGAGTACTTTCCATGTAAACAGCGATACAACAGCAGGCGGCATGCGATATTTCGTGTGTGAGATTCATGTTGCGAGGTTGAAAATAATTCTATTATTTCATTGACTTTTGAACCAATAACCCTGCTTAAATAAGTCTCTTAAAGGGCTTGTAATTTACCATAGAAACAAAGAAAGAACAACAGCCGTTGGCGTCTAAATAACTAACACGGTGGCACCACCGAACATTGCGTAAGGAATTATACGACACCGCACTTGGAGACAATGGTAAAACGATGCCGTGGTGCCATTCTATTGTTTCGTTATGTTTCAGAGCCCGAACGGACGCATGCGATTTTCCTGAAAGAAAAAAAAAAATTGATAAATACTGTGGATCTTCTATCTCTCTGATATGAAAAAAAAAAATTTCTACACGTTGTCAGCTAGTCGATATCTCAGTATCGATGGACCATTGTGCCTACGCGACCGATTTTTATAAGAGCGAATAGAAAATCACGTTCCGTACATGACAGGCGCGTGATTTGCGTGGTAGTGTGCGGACGTTCGAATAAAAACTGCATGTCACTTGTGTATATAATCTGTATAGAATGAGATTTATAGATTTGGCAGAGGATAGATAGATAGATAGATAGATAGATAGATAGATAGATATGAACATAGACAGATATAGATGACAGACTGTCAGATGAGGCAAACACTGAGCTAGCTAGCTAGATACAAAAGAGAATATGATATATATATGCTGAAGATAATGATATTTATAGATAGATAGATACTGAAGATAATGATATATATATATATAGATAGATACATACATACTAAAAAGAATTATATATATATATATATATATATATAGATAGATAGATAGATAGATAGATAGGCAGACAAATACTGAAGATAATGATATATACAGAGATAGATATGAAGAGAATGATATATAAATATATATATATATATATATATATACAGACAGAAACGAGAATTAGATGTTGTAGTTAATGAGATAGATAGATAGATAGATAGATAGATAGATAGATAGATAACGAAGATAATGAATTAGATAGATAGATAGATAGATAGATAGATAGATAGATATGAACATAGACAGATATAGATGACAGACTGTCAGATGAGGCAAACACTGAACTAGCTAGCTAGATACAGAAGAGAATATGATATATATATGCTGAAGATAATGATATTTATAGATAGATAGATACTGAAGATAATGATATATATATATATAGATAGATAGATACATACTAAAAGAATTATATATATATATATATATATATATAGATAGATAGATAGATAGATAGGCAGACAAATACTGAAGATAATGATATATACAGAGATAGATATGAAGAGAATGATATATAAATATATATATATATATATATATATATATATATATACAGACAGAAACGAGAATTAGATGTTGTAGTTAATGAGATAGATAGATAGATAGATAGATAACGAAGATAATGAATTAGATAGATAGATAGATAGATAGATAGATAGATAGATAGATAGATAGATAGATAACGAGGAGAATGAATCGGGGAATCAGGGAACCTGAGGCTGGACGTCAGCCTTTATGTCATGCGCCTCAGAGGAATGGTTATAAACAACAACTTTCATAGAACTACGTGACACCAAAGATTTTGATAAGCAATAGGTCTCTCCCGGAGATTCTATAACTGCCAAGATGTCTTTATTATCAAGCGCTATACTGATTCTATGCTTTATAATTGTGAAAACATCAGCAGTGGACCTAGAAGAGTGAAATACATACTCTTTGTCGCCCAGGAGTGTATACTTTTTAGGTGTTTTCTAGATGATAGTTTCAACATTTTAACAATGGCACGTAGAAGATTGATGGGGTTGATATTGTGAGGGGGTTGAGGGTTTCTCTACGTTCTCATCTTGGTCTAGGTTTTGGCTGCAGGAAGACCCTATGTCTGTCAACAGGACTCTGCACCATGGCACACAAAATATATATATATATATATATATATATATATATATATATATATATGTGTGTGTGTGTGTGTGTGTGTGTGTGAGCCAACACGTGCAACAAAATAAATCCTACATTTGGTTTGATAAAGTCCCTGTGAGGACGAAACGTCGGCGAAGAATAGTTTTTTCCTCTTGACTTTTTTATTCCTATATACAGTGTATATTTACTAAAATTACACGAAATTATCTTGAATATGCTAAAGAATATATGTATTTAATAAAATAGACATTGGCTTCAACCATGGCCTCTAGACGACTTCGGAATATCCTGCAACTCTTCTGGCCGGTCTTCTTGTTTAAGTTGGTGAATCCTGCCATAATCTTTGCCTTCAGTTCATCTTTAGTGTTACTCAGAGTTTTTTTTTTTTTGGTCTCTCGTCCAGCTGTGCCTCACACACATAATAATCAAGGGAGTTGCAATCTGGGGAGTTATGTGTCCAGATGTAAGCGGGTGATGAGGTCGTAGAAAATGCCTGGCAGTGATGACTGGGTTTTCCTGTTTGTGTGGCATAGTGCAGGGAATTTTGCCAGATATAGGCCCTTCTAGCAAACACTCTCTTGACTCAGTGCAGTATTACCTCCTCAAGACACTCAGTGTAGTAATCCGTGTTGAGTCTGAGGCCCCGTGGGAAGATGAAAGTAGGCATGAAGTCTCCATCACATAGAGATTACGAAGTTGTTTGGAGTGACCATATCGTGTGTGTGTGTTTGTGTGTGTGTTTGTGTGTGTGTGTGTGTGTGTGTGTGTGAGCCAACACGGTGCAACAAAATAAATCCTACATTTGGTTTGATAAAGTCCCTGTGAGGACGAAACGTCGGCGAAGAATAGTTTTTTTTCCTCTTGTCCACTATAACGATATGATCACTCCAAACAACTTCGTAATCTCCATTAGATTCAAATCCTCTGCACTGTCCTCAGATTGACACCCCAAAACTCTGAAATGTTCGTATTGTAGCTTCCGGCGCGAATGCCAAGCAGTACAGCGTTTCCGAATTCTGGTAGAGTGAGTTGCTTCATGGTGCTCTTTTTCTCACAGACGGTGCCCAACTGACCCTACTATACGAACGAGGGATGCTGGGAATCTCACTTTTTTTTTTTTAATATATAATCTATCAGATTTCCTTTCGATTATTTTTCTTCTTTCCGTCAATTTTTGATTATTTTGTGGTGATGATTGCAAAAAAGGCTTCGTCATTTGTTTGGTAAAAACAAAAGAAAAGGTGTGTTTTAGTCGTAAGTTACCTCGGCCTATTTATCGCCCAAACCTCTTTACCTGCAAGCTATTATCAACCACCTTTCGAGACCCAACGGGCATTTATCAAGAGTCTGGATAGCCCCATTGACGCAAAAGGGTTGATATCTGTGGTAAAGTAGTTTTCCCAGTGGAGGCTTGTTTTTCAATAAGTCGCTCCTAAATTAGGTTCGATGTACAAAAACGTTAGGAACTTGCAATAATAGTTAATGACGCAGCAATCTAGTTGTGGTCGTTGATACGTCAATGTCCGACATCGACTGACTCACTCAACTCCACTGAGCCCAACTGGCCACTGCTACTACTACTACTACTTATTATGTGTGGCAGAGTCTATTACAATAGAATAGGTAATGTTCTAGTATAACAATATCGAATAGCTGACCTCCTGGTCTGAATATTTCTCGTTGTCGTCACTTGCATAACGCATACATTACATAATATAACGTTTAGTACTGAGGTGTGTTGTTCTTCCTCAGCTGGTAAGGCTGAATACTTTGCTCGGAAAATCTCATCGAGTTCAACGCTCGACTCATCCGGAGTACCCACACCTGATGTTCCCCTTAGAACTGAGGCTCTGGTGAGTGGCATAGACATAATCCTATCGATAGTTTTGGACATTGCCTCCAAATTAGACTCCCATAAGGCTCGTGGCGGAGACGGGACACCAGCCGTTGTCCTGAAGTAATGTACTCCTGAACTGGCAGCAGTCCTCTTCAAAATATAACTATTCCCTCTTTCTTTCCAGCCTGTTGGAAGTCCTCATCTGTGGACCCATTCTTTAAGAACTCTGGTGACGCTTCTTATCCGTCTAACTACCGTCCTATAAGTCTCCTAGCAATCTTCGGCAAAGTGTTCGAGGCTTTAATCAATGCCGAACTGGTTAAGCACCTTACATCCTAAGATCTGCTATCAGAGAAACGATATTGTTTACGCTTTGCCCTGTCCACCGCAGACGTGTTCACAACCATAACTGAATTTATATATACCAAGCAATTGAATATAACTGAATTTGTATAAGAAGCTCTTGATAATAACGTCGAAACTCAAGCTGTAGCTCTAGACATTTCTAAAGTGTTTGATAGGCTCTGCCACGCTGGCCTTCTTCGTAAGGTTCAAGGTTACGGCATTACAGAACGATTATTTGACTTCATAAAACTATTCCTTTCGAAGCGTGAAATGAACGTCGTCCTAAGCGGGTTCACCTCCAGTTCCTATTACCTGAACGCTGGTGTTCCCCAAGGCTCTATCCTAGGTCCTACATTATCTCTGATCTTCATCAAGGATCTTTCTGATGTCATCAATTCCCAAGTTGACATCTACGCTGACGGCACTATTATTTACATCTGCTTTAATAGTAGACCCGTCATCGTTGACAAAATTGACCTGGCCGTGGGCCTTGAGAAGGATTTCTAATCCATGGTTGACTGAAATGAAAATAAATGCGGTTGAAGAAATAAAAGCATTTTGGCCTTGCTTTTGTTGATAGGTTTGATAAAGCGACCTTCGTATTTGTTTTACTGGACAACAGACCCCTTTTTTTATATGCAATGCTTTCACCAATTTTGTCGTATATTTTTTTTAGTTATCGTAAATGTATTTCTTTTTCTCAAAAATTTAATATATGTGCAGTAATATATATATATATATATATATATGTGTGTGTGTGTGTGTGTGTGTGTGTGTGTGTAAAAATATATAGAAAATAGGGAAAAAAAATATTTATGAAGTCGTCCAAAAAACAAATGTTAGCGAATTATGACAGTTTTTTATATACACAAAACACTTTCAGAAAAAAATAAAAAATAAAATAAAAAATAAATAAATCTCCATAGACACTTAACCAGACTAGACGATGTCATCTTCCGCTTTAAATTTAGACATCCCAACCTTACCCTGACTTGACCTCTTTGAATGTAACTGAGATATTGATACAAATTATTAACCCTTACGCCCCTTTTCTTTAAACAAGTGCTTTAGCCGTTACCATAGTAATTTTAATTTTAATAATGAATATGCTTATAAAACGCGTGAATTTCAGGAATTAGTTATTTTTTTAAATTGCCCCCTGACCCCTACAGACAGTGAAATGTACATATGGGGACTAGTTAGGATTTCATAGAGAATTTGAGGTATTATGGTGGACGCAGTAAGAAAGATAGGAGTGAATGTGTTGTTTTGGTGATAGGACTATTGTTGGCATGTTTGGGTCCGTGTCTGTGACTAGCTAAGTTTAGATTTAAGTCAGAAGAAAACTGTCCTTACCCAACCCCCTTTTTTTGGCCTTGTGCCACATTTTATACAGTGGTACGAATAAATAACTATTCCAAAAAAAATTTCGCTTGAAGATGGAACAGAGCTTATATTGAAGTTTTCGGCTCTT